CTTTTCTTTCCATCAACCTGGTGCTCTCACAGTCTCTCCCTCAGTAGGTTTGTTTACTTTGAGTCTTGTAGATATGCTTGAACCATTTGGATCTTTGACTCAAGTGCTACACATCGCATGACTAGTGATTTTTTCTTATTTGTATCTATTGTCTCTCCTCCCTCTATATCTGTACTAATAGCCAGTGGCACTCAAAAGTCACAGGCTGGTGTTGGGATGACTATTCCTTCCTAACTCACACTTTCTTCCTCAACTCATTTTAAATTTAATTTTAATCAATCAACTATTGATTTTGGATTTTTAGTTCATTTCTCTTCCTCTAGTTATGTTGGGCAGAATCCACGATCTAAGAAGCTGATTGGGACAGATCATAGAAAAATAGGGTTATATTTGTTAGAAGAGTTTCACGATCTAGATATATTCTCGCATCTACTGTTAATTTGTCTTCTTTTTCATTTGAGTTCATAGTCATTTAGTTTTTATTTGTGGCATTCTCACATTGGTAATGTTTCTCATACTTATTTGAACATTATAACTTATACTGATAATTTGGGTAGTTTAGACTTTAGAGTGTCATGACATTTTAATTGTGGTGGATGTAAGTTGGCTAAATTTACTGCATTACATTTCAATAAAAGTTTTATTAGCTCTTTTGCTCCATTTGATCTTTTTCTATTCTGATATATGGGGAACTGCTCCTATTCCTACACAAGGAGGATCTAGATATTATGTCTGTTTTAGCGATGATTATACTAGGTATTGTTAGGTATATTTGATGAAACATTAGTCTGAATTCTTTTCTATATTCATTGCTTTTCGTGCCATGGTACACATTCAATATTCCTATATTAAAAAAGTGTTTTTGATGTGATCAAAGAGGTGAAACTTCATTTTTGTGAATTGTTAAAATCTAATTATACCTTTACCAATCCTCTTATATTGACATGCTTGAGCAAAATGATGTTGCCGAGCGTAAATACCGTCACATTATATAGATAACACGCTCTCANCATGCCATGGTACACATTCAATATTCCTATATTAAAAAAGTGTTTTTGATGTGATCAAAGAGGTGAAACTTCATTTTGTGAATTGTTAAAATCTAATTATACCTTTACCAATCCTCTTATATTGACATGCTTGATCAAAATGATGTTGCCGAGCGTAAATACCGTCACATTATATAGATAACACGCTCTCACTTGTTATTAGCAAAAATCACTGGCTCCTTTTTGGGAGAGGAGGAAGGAAACAATTCTTACAATAGATCATTTGATTAACTGCATTCATACTATTTTCACCTCTCGTGTCTCCCCATATGAAAAATTGTGTGGTAAGTCACCTAATTACTTTTCCTCACATGTGATTTGGTTACACTTGTGAGGGATCTACCTCCCCTATACCCGGGGATATACCTCCCTCCAAGAGCATTCCTCCCATTACCGGGATATCCCGCTCTCCACCAAAGGATTTNGATAAGTCACCTAATTACTTTTCCTCACATGTGATTTGGTTACACTTGTTTGTCTCGCTCCCTAGTTTTTTTCATACCAAATGTTTTACTCGCTCAACTTTATTTGTTTTTTTTAGATATGGTAAGGGTCAAAAGGGGTATCGTTGTTATAATCATATTATCCACAAATTNACACTTGTTTGTCTCGCTCCCTAGTTTTTTTCATACCAAATGTTCTACTCGCTCAACTTTATTTGTTTTTTTAAGATATGGTAAGGGTCAAAAGGGGTATCGTTGTTATAATCATATTATCCACAAATTTTATCATATTTGTCTCTTTTTGATTCTATCTAGTTCTTCATCTCTAGATAAATCAAATCTCCTTTATATTAATATCTTTCTCACTGATGTTCCCCGTGATACATATTTTGATGATTTGATTGTGTCTATTTTACCATCCTCCTCTTCCTTTTTTGATTTTTTTTTGTAAACCTCCTATTGTGCATACTTAGGCTCAAGGACTCCCGTTATCTCTTCTATGGATGTTATTTTCCCTTCTATAAGGAGTCTATACTTGATTCTCTTTTGCAACAAGTTATAGACAAGGAGCTAGCTATTAGCTCGACAATTGGTGTCTTTATCCCTCAAAAAATGCACCATTAGTTGTAAATGGGTTTATAAGATCAAAGTTAAATGTAAACGTTTTGTGGAAAGGTACAAAATTTGGTTAGTTAGGGGATTCTCTCAAGAGTATGCCCTAAACTATGGTGAGACTTTTGTCTCGACTGCTAATATGACCATTTTTCGTATTGTGATTGCAGTAGCTATCATTTGTCATTAGAGCTTGTCTCAAAAGTGTGTGAAAAATATTTTTTTCATGAAGATTTATTTGAAGAGGTGTTTATGATTCCTATTTCTAGATTATCTCATAGCTCCAATTGAGTATGCAGACTTTACAAAACTTTATGTGACCTTAAACAAAATTTCAAGGCATGGTTTGTTAAGTGTTTGGACCCAAAATATAAAATCTTGAGAATGTTCAGTGTATTACTACCTGGCATCTCAGATGCATGAGAAAGTGTCATGTGGCTGAATTTGAAGAAAGGCAGGAGATGTTCAGCCACAATCATATTTGAAAAGGAAGAAGTAACCAACTAAAAGTTATTAGTCAGTAATCGTTGATAGGAGAAAAAATGTCGAAGACAATGGCCATAAAAAAGGCATTTAGTGGAGAAGATATGGACACATTCAAATCCCCAAAAGGACCAATGATCTGAAAATTATTATAAATAGTTTTAGGCTAGTTTTGGAGCAGTTAGTGTTGTAATTAAGACTCTTTTAATTCAGTCTTTTGTAACCAAAATCCTTTTGATTGGATTAATAAAAGAATTGTCTTTTATTAGTTCTTTGTTCTCTATTTTAAATTTTACCTTCGCACAATGAGAATCTCCATTATTTTTTATCCAAGGAAGTCTTAAAACAAAACATTTGAACCCATTTCAAACAATCCCTTAACCTAATATATGTCAATTATGACATTTCTGTCGATCCCAACAGATTTTTGGAGTAACACTAAGTTTTCTTTAGTTGTTTGTAATTTGAATTTGCGTCCTAGTGATCATGATTGTACTCTTTACTTGTGGTTCANTTAAAAAATATATGTCAATTATGACATTTCTGTCGATCCCAACAGATTTTTGGAGTAACACTAAGTTTTCTTTAGTTGTTTGTAATTTGAATTTGTGTCCTAGTGATCATGATTGTACTCTCTACTTGTGGTTCACTTCCTCAGGTTCTATTGTTCTCTTACTTTAGGTGATGACACTACTGGCATACGATTATTGAAAAATCAGTTGTAAGATCATTTTGAGATGAAAGATTTATATTAGCTCTGATATTTTTTTGGGGATTGAGATTGTTTCCTCGCCTAAAAGTTGTCTCCTTTCTCGATCCAAGTACGCATCCAATGTTACTTAGCTAGCTTGTTTATTAGATAATTGGACAATTAAGATACCCTTAGAGCTTAATGCTCGTTATCTTCCTCTGATGGTACTCTCTTACCTGATCCTATTCTCTATCGCACTATTATTAGGAATCTGGTACATCTAACTATTACTCATTTGTCTCTTTATGTTGTTCATGTTGTTAGTCAGTTTGTTACATCACCTACCATTATTCACTAAACTTTTGTTTTTCGAATTCTTTGATATCTTCAAGATACTCTACATCAGAATCTATTATTTCCTTCTTTCTCTTCTATGGAACTCAATGCTTACTCAGATGATGACAGAGTCGGTGACTATATGGATTGCAAGTTCACCACTAGTTTTTATTTTTTTTCTTAGTGATTCCCTTATCTCCTAAAAATGCAAGAAACAAACAATTGTTGCTCATTCCTCAACTGAAGCAGAGTACCATGTTATGGCGGCAACTGAGATAGTTTGGTTACAATGGTTATTTACTTATCTCAACATTTCTTTATCTACTGTTACACTATGTGTTATGACAACACTAATATTATTCAGATTGCTCACGATTCATTCTTCCATTAGCATACAAAGTATATTAAGATTNTTATCTCAACATTTCTTTATCTACTATTACACTATGTGTTATGACAACACTAATCTTATTCAGATTGCTCACGATTCATTCTTCCATTAGCATACAAAGTATATTAAGATTGTTTGTCACTTTGTACGTCATCATCTTTGGCCATCTCTTTCCCCTTTTTTCCACTCTGCAGTTAGCTGATTTATTTACGAAATGTCACACTATAACCTATTTTCGCTTTCTTGTTAACAAACTCTTAATGTTCTCCGATGTCACATCATAAGTTTAAAGGAGAGAGGGTTTTAGAGTATTTTATTAAGGATAGTTTAGTCGTTTAAATTATTTTATGTTATCTTACTATATAAAAGCTTTTATTGTGTACCTTAAGTCAAGATGTTGCACTCACTTGTTATGCCTCACTGATAGCTACAGGAAAAGCCCATCAACCTCTGGGTGCCGTAAAGTAAGTTCAGCAGTAACTATCAGAACCCATCATATTAGGTTCTCTTAACAGGGAAGGATCGCAGAGATCTATAAAATATTGATGGTCACAGGAAAGTTTAATTTGAAATTAATAATCTGCGCTGCAGTGACTTGCATTAAAACATCAGGGGCTCTGAGGTTTTTTGTTTTTGTCATATGAATTTTGCACTCTGTTCTTTGGCTTTGAAGGTTGTGGCTATTCTTAGCACTTCTGCATCCGGAGTAAGACAAAAATTACTCCATCGGCGTAGTCTAAATTGCATTGAGAATGCTGGAAAAAAGGTCAAAAAATCTGTCATTCCTGGTTGATTAGAATGGGCGGACCACTAGCTCGGAATTGCTCTCAACTACCATTTGAGAGGTAATAAACTGTATTGTGCATCTATATTTTCAAAAAAAACCAAGAGGAATGCACTCATTTGCACTCTGTCAATTGAATCTCTCACATTTATCCAAAAAAAAATTGAATCTCTNACATTTTCAAAAAAAACAAAGAGGAATGCACTAATTTGCACTCTGTCAATTGAATCTCTCACATTTATCCAAAAAAAAATTGAATCTCTCACATTTTATTCAATACAAATTATGTGACAAATACACACAAGACTCTAACTAACCATAAATCATACTCATTTGTAAGTATGGGGTGCTAGGAAATATCAAAAGTCGAGGAGAAAAAAATCATGAAGGATCATTTTGACTTTTATTTGATCCACAAAGCTCTTCATCACCCTCCCTCTCCTGCTCATGGATTGCTGGAGTAAGACAAGGATCCTCATGGAGCCATCCCTCACTCTCCCCAGTAACCTGTGGCATCCCAAGCGATCCTGAACTTGCTTGCTGCTCATAAATCAAGCTTGTAAGCCCATTCCGCTTCAGATATGTGTCCAAGGGACGGCTGGCTTCTTGAAGAAGGCTCATCATGCTTACATGGGTTGACCCCGTTTGCACGTCTTCACGGTCTGGATGACAATTCAAGTCTAATTGTTCCTTACCAGTTTCAGAAACCTTTTGGGACTGACTGTTGCTTTGGCCCCTAGGTTGTAACTCACTTGCTGATCTGATTTCAATCTGTGACGTCCCTTGTCTAGAGATGCTATCTACTTCCACTTCCTCCTTAGGACCCCATATAATTTGACTCCTCTGGGCAATTTCTGCCTCACGTTCGGATTGACGCTTCTTTTTACGCATCATTAGAGTCTTAAAACGTCGTTTAACTGTCATGCATACATTGCATGTGCACGTAGGCTTGTGTTTCCCCTTTCCACTGGGAGGCTGGATGCACACAATACAAGAGCAACCAGGCCGATGCCTAGGGTGTTTAGTAGTGGTCGCAACTGATGTGGCACCTGGCTCGCGCACATCATCTCCAACAGTAGTGGTGTTGACAAGACCAGCAGATTCAAGCTCCTGAGCTGACCTATGGCTTGTTCCAGTTCTATGCTTTTTCAAATCTAAGCAACATTAGAAATACAAAAAATACATTTAAAAAAATTCCAGCTTTCATGCAATATATAATTTACCTCCGCAACTATGTACAATATGTGACAACACANTACAAAATATTCCCGCTTTCATGCAATATATAATTTACCTCCGCAACTATGTACAATATGTGACAACACATGTTCACACATATGCATGCCTAATTTATATTCTAAAAGTAAATTCCACTCTGCAACTGTTGTCTAAATTAAACACGTGATGCATAATCCTACCCTTGTTCATCTTGAGAAGATTTTCAAGTTCCCAATGGCCCAATTCATCTGCTGCAGAACATGAGCACCTGAGAAACAAATCAAATAAGCATAAATATTTGCTCAATTTTTCTGCCTAGGAACTAACGCCTCTTATGCATGCACAACTCACCTTCTTTGATCCCAAACATTTTCCTCACATGTCCATCTCGGAGGGAGAAGGAAATCCTCCGGCAACCTCCGCCATTTATAACAATTATCGCATTGAGCCCACTGCTCCTGCTGCCTGCATCATCAAGCTTATAACGTTATGCCTAGACAAATAAACCTAGACGGAGTCCTGAAAGGGAATTGCAGACAATTCCAAGTGAAAATACCACAGATATAAAATTACATGAGACAAAGCAAAAACACTCCCTCTTCCAACCTTTACTGTGTACAAGGAACCATTAATATCTAGTCAGTGCTCAATTTCAAAAATTGTCACTTTCTTCCCGTCTTTAACGGTATGGAAGCATCAAGATTCCAATGACAACTAAAAAGGTGTTATTGATTGTGTTAAAAGGCCAGGGTCTTAAAACTGAAGTTGAAATAATAAAGGTTATCCACAACGCACACCAATTGTATTAGTAGGCATTGGAAATACAAAAGGGCTTCATCAAAGAGCATATTTGAATAATAATTCATGGGTCTGGAGATTGAGAAACATTTCTAATAGGAAAACACTGATATAGTTAGCATCTTCAGCGACCACAAACACTAACTGGATATTTATTCTGCGACAATTCTTCAAAGATGTTTTCCATTAGCTTCAGTAACTTTTTTCAGGAGTAGAGTTTCATTCCAGCATAAAAATTTCTGTAAAGATGACCTATTTATGTTCATTTATATGGGAGCTCATTTTCGTAATTTCAATGGAGAACTAACTTCACATACTAAAATGCATTTTGTAGTAGATTATGGTGTCCTTACCCAGACAAGCGGGCAGTGAAAATGCTCATCTTCCCAAAAACAGGGGGTTCCTATATGACAGACAACATTAGTATTAGCCAATGCAACCCCAGTTTTCTCAGCAACCAGACCCACTGCTTCCAACAGACACTAGGTGACAGTAATCCGATGGAACAGTAGTGTGCGAACAACATAGGATGTGAGAATTGCAAAAATTTTCTTACTTCATACTCCTCAAATTCATGATCCTCAATTGTGACAGTGCTTGGCTTGCCACTAGGAGGTGGGCGGAGCATATCCTGTGCCTCTTCCCATGATAGCTTCAGCTCCAAAGCATCTTGACTATCAATGAGTAACCTCTTACTTTTTGACCCAATATTACGACTTCTTTTCCTCTCTGAATCCAGCATTGCTAGCGGCATAAGACCATCTCCTGTCTTGCCTACATGCTTCTCAGTGATCGGCCAGTTCAAATCCCCACTATTGGCATGTTTCCATAGTGCATTTAGGCGCGGATCCGTGCTTCCTTTCAGTGACTGAAGAAGGCCAGAGTTACATTCAGTATAGCTAGATTCTCTATAACACTAGAAATAAAGAGGCGCTTGAAAAAGTGCTACTAAGTAGGGAAGATAGATGGGTGCCCTGTTTAGTTAATAATGCATAAGTTAATTGTCTAAGATTTGAGTTTGTTAACATCAAAACTGGCTGTGACACATGACTATGTGGTATGTACATGAAAGCATCAGAGTAGTGGATCTTATCAACAAAACTAATTAGCAGTGAAGACCCCTACACAGCTGGCTACCTGCATAGGAATAGTGCTTGATGCTTTCCGAAACCCCATTAGAAGTTTTCCTTCTGGATCCATGCGACTGAAAGTTACTGAAACATATTAAACAGATGAGAAAAAAGACCAACTATATTTACCTGGATCACCCAAGACAGCAGTATACAAGGAAATATGAGAAAGAAAGATCAGTTGGCTAACGACATATGCAAGGTTTTTTTTCCTTTTGTTGGGGAACTAATTTTTTTTGAAACAATGTGATTAACAAAAAGCTATTTCATTAAGGGCCACTGCATTCTTGTTCCCCTTTTAGCTCCTGTACTCCATGATGTGATTGTAATACAAACATAGAAATGCACGACGGCACAAATCCAAATGTCAAAGGGGGAACACTAATACTAAAGTAAAGCAGGCCTCAAGCAATACCAGTATCTCCAGCCCGCAATTGCATGGATTGTATGCAAGGGGTTACACCCTCTAATACATACATCCTGCTATTATTATTTGGCCAAAATCTGAATTGAAACACCCATTCTTTCCCCTTCACATCTTGAATCATTAGAGGAAGGCCCTCCGGTTGTGAGATAGGTGGAAAATATGCCTGTAAAGGACTAAGTTTTAGTCTTAGCACATCTAGGGTTCGTTAGAAAGGGAAAAAAACTTTCAATATAAATTCAGGATGTAATCAAAACTAATGTTGGTCAGCCAAATAAAAAGAAGAGGTACATAACAGAAAACTTACTTCAGCACATGCTTTTGGAAGAACCAAACGACCAATTCGACCAGCATCGCTGGCACTCAAAACCTTTTCAAATAATGGCACTATGGTGGAATTTGAGCTTAAAATGTCACACTTAAGGAAATCAATGTCCAGGTCAGTGGATAAGCATGAAGAATGTTGAGGCAGCAATCAATGTATAATTTTCACAAGTAATTTTACAGTAATGAAAAAAAAAAACCACTGTTATCATCATGGATACTCTCCAGATATCTGCTGCAACTCTTGGTCCGTAATCCGGGGCCAATAACGAGGAAGCAATTGATTCTTAACCCGTCCCTCAACAGGTGGTCTTGCAACACGTATCTGTGAAATCATGCTGTCATTTGCACCAAATCCTGCTGCAAGAACTGATTTTGAGGGCTTTGGCAAAAGATGGCGAGACCTAGAACCCTGCTGAATAGATGATATAGCTTTGCTCAGTTCCCTTTCTTCAAAAACCACAACAGGAAAGGCATTTGAGTTTCCCGATGGAGCAGACAATGCAATAGTTAAATTTGTCTGAACTAGTGATCCATGTACATCTTTGGCCCCAAAACTTGACTTATATATGTCTATGTCAGAAGTATGAGATGATCTAATTGATGTTTGATTGAAGTTTGATAAACGTGTGCTTCCAATTTCTCCTACAGGTAGTGATACTTCTTCTTCCTGTTTCATTTGACCAATAGATCCATTTGTATCATTATTCTGATATGGAAGCAAGTGCTTCTGGCCATTATTTTCAGCACTGTCGCTACACTGCTTAAGCTTCATTTTGTCGAAGTTGCCACCATTCACTTGCCCGCTCACAGAAGTCGATTGAATTTCACCAACAGTTTTTGACATTGTGATGCCTAATCCTTTAGCCTTTTCATCAGTTTTGGCCTGTGTGAAAATTTAGAACCATCATAGATACCCAAAATTTGAAGGAAAATACTGAAACTACGACAGTCAAATATGGGAAAATCCTAAGCCAAAAGTGAAAAATATTTCCAAATTTCACATCATTGTGGTATATAAAAGAATTCGTAGTGGGATAACATACTCTGTTGACTAGGAATTGGAACCCACTCNCAGTCAAATATGGGAAAATCCTAGGCCAAAAGTGAAAAATATTTCCAAATTTCACATCATTGTGGTATATAAAAGAATTCGTAGTGGGATAACATACTCTGTTGACTAGGAATTGGAACCCACTCAAGCAATATATTTTCTTAAACAGGGTATAATCGTACCATCTGGAAATGATAATTGTTTTCCAAACAAACTAGGGTGCATTGTATGTGTAATCTGCCAGCTGGATTCAACAATTACAAAATAAATGAACTGGAAAGGCTCATTCAATGCATACAACCCAAGAGCTCTAAAGCGGTATGTGCTCAACATCCAAAAGACAACGTAAAAATGTGTGTCAAATAATCTTACAGTGCAAACTCCTGAACTTTTTGCGCAGCTAATGCAATTTACACCACCACTGTCAAGTAGCTCAAGCAAAGAGCTGGAAGCAATGCATCCACAATGGAGCGGCTGCCATTACAAAAATCGCATTAAATTTTTGGGCGCACCTTTACAAGAAGGATATACACATGGGCGAGGAGGTAAAAGCACTCTACCAGCTCACCTTGCCACATGAAGTGCATTCCCTCCAACCAGTGTCCTTTGAGTGGAAAATGTCACAGAAGACTAGTTGCTCATAAGCATTCCTGCATTCAATGCAGACGCCAACACTGATATATACCATATGGAAAATTTCATTATCACCTATAGAGGATATTTTGCAGCTCAAACATGTGAAATTGACATCAAACAGTGACTATGAGTTCCAAGTGACTGATTTGAATCATTAAACTATGTCTCAAGGACCAGAATACGAGAATATTCTTATTTGAATTGCAAAACCCTTTTAAGAAGGGGGCAAGGAATTAAATTGATTTTTCATGGTTGATTTTGAGGCCAAAAATGCTCTCCATCTTGACATAACTAGGCTTCCACTTATATAACCTTCACAGCCACCCCAGCTGTCAGCCCAAATCTACTACCATGAAAGGGGGATACACAAGGTGGGGCTTATGGGCCAAGGAAACGGATTAGGTGCGTCAGGGGGAAACAGGTTGGGGTGGTGTTGGTGAGCAGCAAGTTTTTTTTTTGGGGGGTGGGGGGAGGACTTTGTGGAAACAAAATTATTTTGATTCTTCAAAGAATAAGGAGGTAATATTGGCCATTTGATTTATTATTTGACAGAAGAGATTTGTTTGTTACAACTTCTCGGACAAATGCTAGGGGTCATCGTATCTTTTGACCAATTCAAGGGGGTCGGGCAGCAGTTCATACAAAATATAAAGATTACGAAAAATACTACTTTGCTATTAGATCACAATTTCCTTTGGGTTCCCACATTGGAAACACCTGACCCATCCCTGAACCTTATCCATTTTCACCCCAGTGCTGGCTGGGCTCAATAAGCCTCAATCGTATTAAAAATTCTAAGACTTCTGAAAATATGAGCGACGGAGATTGCCAAAAAGTTGGTGCCATCTCATCATCATCACCCTCAACAGTGATGATGNCCTTTGGGTTCCCACATTGGAAACACCTGACCCATCCCTGAACCTCATCCATTTTTCACCCCAGTGCTGGCTGGGCTCAATAAGCCTCCATCGTATTAAAAATTCTAAGGCTTCTGAAAATATGAGCAACAGAGATTGCCAAAAAGTTGGTGCCATCTCATCATCATCACCCTCAACAGTGATGATGGATTAGGATTGAAATTGCTGTTATATGGCACACAAATAAAAGATGCTATTCTTGAATAATTGTGTTTTGATGTCCTAACAAATATCTTAGAAACACAAGTACAAAAACAACATCAAGTTGCAAGCAATAGAATATGTTAATTTGCGAAAAAATAAGAAGGTATTACACGCAAAAGTATCGCAAATAAACAAGCCACATAGAACACAAAGATACAAATAAAGCAAAATAAAAGATAGAAATTAAAAACTCAAATAAACAACGTAAAATACGGATTCTATGCACCTAAGTAGCAGCTTCTGACCCCAAAACAAGCGAAGTAAATAAAATTTCAAAGTTCAAAAACATTTAGACAGAGATCTGAATTACCCGCACTTATCACAAAGATTGGCAAATTCACCGGATCGCAGGGGCCAGCCTTTTTTCCAATCGGTCGACGACGATGACGCCCGGCACAAATTGTTCATGCAAACTTGTGAGGCCATTCGTAAACATATACCTGTGAAATCCCAAAATTTCAAAATCAAACATACATATAAAAGCCCTAAAACCCTACCAAGTATTATTCCTTTTAACATTTCCAAATATTAAAATAAGAGCGCACAGTACAACAGCTGGTCGAACAATAGAACAGCATCAAAGATAGATTAAGGTTAGAAATACAACCAACCTTAAGCCTTATAATGCTATGAATAACATATTTCTCTGTATGTTTGTTAATCCGAGGAAGAGAAGACAAGTGTTTTGCTGCATCTGCAGACAAGACATGTGAGTTGCCAAAAGTTTGAATCTTTTGTTTGAAATCAAGAAGGAGAAGTCGTCGGACTATGATTCCGGTGAAGGAAAAGTTCGATCTGCGATCAAGTGTAACGATGACCAAGCAAATGGGCATGCAAAGTAGTAGCAGGAGAGAGAGAAAAAGGCAGAAAAAAATTGCATGCTGCACCACGCTTCAAGACTCGGCGAAGTCACCCACCTTTCTTGTCAACAAACACAAGAGAATGCTACTGCTACGCTGTTTCAATATTCCTTAACCAGTTCAAAATTAAAAAATTAAAAAAAAATTCCTTTTCCCCTGTACCAAAACACCAAAAAATTGTACTGCTACTACTTTATGTGTTACTAACTTGATAACCCTGTGGGCTTAGCTGATAGCTCAGTCACTGTGCCGTATTATTAGTAGATTTGTAAATTAAATTAATGTTTTGGTTCCTAAGGGCGGGCGGGCGGCGGCTGGAAAAAGCAAAAAATGAATACCTGAAATGAAATTTGCTGCCGACTTTGGCTTTTATTTCTGTCTTTATTCTACTTATGCTATATGCTCTGCTAGTCATCCCTGAACTTGAATATCTATTAATTCAAGAATCAGAGAGCTAATCAACCATTGAACCGACAGATAGACAAATAAAAGGACGTTAGCCCCTAAGGTTATCTTGCAACAAAACCCAAAAAGTCATGAGGAGGACACCAAAACCTTACTCCATTGTATTGTATCATATAACTAGCATATTATTAACTCACTAATTTTAAAGTTAAAATTTTATACTTCTTACAAGGGTTAATAGTATTTTCTACCCTTAAAATATGTCAGTTTAGTTCTCAATGTATTAATTTTGCCAATTTGATTTCTAAAATATTTAATTTGAGTCATTTTCGTCTCCACATAGACAGATCGTTAAGTTTTTAATAAAATGATCATGTGTCGAGCACGTGATACTATCTAATAAAATAACACATGGCTACTTCCTTCAAAAAACTTAACGACCAGTCTATGTGGAGATTAAAATGACACAAATTGAATATTTTAGAGACCAAATTGATAAAATTAATACATTGAAGATTAAACTGATAAAAAAAATATATTTTAATGATAAAAAATGTTATTAATCTTTATTATAATATTATTGTATTGAATATTTTTTATTCCTATAAATTAACAATGACACGATATCAACTGTATTGTTTTGTTTTTTCCCAAAACAGTTGAAAATACGCCTTTGGGACAGCATACACCGTAAAATGCGCCACTTTGAGCTTTTTTATCCCATCCTAATGTTTCCAATTCAACAATAATATGCTCGAACTGTAATGACTGAAATATCCATAAGGCATCACCTGTTTTAACGGTTTAACCGCTGCTATATGACGCCGTTCTCTGGAGTCCCGGAAAGGTGTTCACTGGCTCTAAAGCATCAGCACCGTCGATTTCCTTTTCAATACGCACATCTAACGGTGGGAACAGATTTACGACGTCATATGCTAGTAGGTGATGACCTTAAGTGCTCTCAAAGTATGATACCAACAACTCCAACTACCAACCACCAGCTCCACCATGAAAGAGAAACACCAACCACACGCCTGCACATGTGTAATTCTCTATCTCTATTTAATTACAATACGCTGATGAATTATAATTCCTTAACCTTGGGTTAATTGAGAATAGATGTGAAATCTCAGTGGAGATTAATCATTAGCAAGTTACATGCTTCCATAGTTATCTATAAATTTAGGACTGTCAATTTTCAACACGATACGAATTGAACACAAAATTAATGATTCAAATACACAATTAAACAAGTTAATAAATTAAAACGGGGGCAACACAAAAAAAAATCAAGTTCATGTGAAAATCAGCTCAACCTTATTTTGACATGATTAACTCGTATATTTTAAACGGATTGACATGATTCGAACATGAACTCGACCCAACTCATTATAGACCTGTTTATAATAGTATAATTTGTCTATTATATATAACTGATGTAGTCTTAACATTATTACTTATTAATTTTTATTTCTACGATAGTAATTGACAATATAGTTCATAACATTATTATAACAATCTATATAATAAAGTAGTTTACAATTTAAATCTTAAAAGATAAATAAAATGACTTTTACTATTCGCGATTGAGATCGTTTTAAATTTTACTTTAAAGTTAATCTAACGACTAATATTAACACCGTAAATTTAATAGAAAAAATAGAGGTCCTAAGTGTGTGTTTANACAAAATGACTTTTGTTATTCGCGATTGAGATCGTTTTAAATTTTACTTTAAAGTTAATCTAACGGCTAATATTAACACCGTAAATTTAATAGAAAAAATAGAGGTCCTAAGTGTGTGTTTAGAGTAACTTTTTAAAAATACTTCTAGAAATTATTTATCATAAATACTTAAAAAAAAATAGTGTTTGAACCCGTCACATCACTGCCTCTACCACCACCATCCCACCGCTGCTGCCACCACCACCACCACTACTACCACCGTCACTACTACCACTGCCACCGCCACCGGCACCACCACCGCCACCCCCCGCCACCCCCACCATCCCCACCATCATCGTTGTTGCCACCGTCGCTGCCGTCCCCACTGCCACAGCCACAACCATCACCATCGCCACCACCACCATCACCATCACCATCANCACCGTCGTTGCCGTCCCCACTGCCACAGCCACAACCATCACCATCACCACAACCATCGCCACCATCACCATCACCATCACCACTGTCTTCGCCACCACAGTCATTGCCACCTATCACAACCTCTACCACCACTGTCATCGTTGTCATCATCATCGCTAACCCTACCGCTATTGTTATTGTCATTGTTACCATGTGACACCACCACCATCATCATTACCACCACCACCATCACTACCACTGTCGTCGTTGTCGCCACCACCACTGCCACCACGGTCATTGTCACCCACCACAACCATCATCGTCTTCTACTACCACTATTGCAGCCCACCACCTCTCACTCTCATTACAAATCGATCATTAAATTCATTTATTTCTCCTTTATGTTTATGATTTGATTTTAAATATGAATACAAATATGTTTATTGTTTACCAGTTTTTATTACTTTGTGTCATCAGGTACAGGTAATAACTAGTATACTAATATAATTCTTATTTAATTTTTGGGTTGAAACTTGAATACTTTTTAGTTAATTTCATTGATGAGATGTAATATGTTATTTGTAAAAAAATTATTTGAAATTTTGGATAAATGATTAAATGATATATTTAATGGCAATAAATAAGTGTAAAAACAAGTTATGTGTGTTAAACATGTCTATGTTATGTGTGCTAAACAAGTCAAAATAACATGTGTGTTAACCGAAAAATGACTTGTTTATTAAACATGTGAAACAGGTCGAGTTCGGGTACCCCGCTTAATAGTCAGGTCAGATTAGTGTTTACACATTCAACACGATTATTAAACATGTCAAGTTCGGGTTTTGAGATTTTTGACACTAACTCGAAATCAACCTAACATGAAATGACCTAACCCGACACATTTGACACCCCTATACAAATTCATGTTTCCTAGAAAAAAAATAATGTCCTAATAAGTTTATTAGGAAATGGATATTTTGTAGAAGAGTGGTTCATTAAAGTTTTTATGAGTTCGAATTTTAACAATTCTTTGAGGTCGAACTATGAGAGATTCTCATGAATCTTCTAGTCCCGGAATACGTGACTTTTCCGTGATTAGAACGGAAAAAAGATTAGTCAAAATATTTGTAAACTTATCCGAACACTCTTGATCGTTGAACTAAAAAAAAAAATTTGCTGCACGGTATATCTATTTGAAAGACAGAAAAATGAAGCTATACAAAGTTTCCAACAGTAGGTATCAATTTGTTGAACTTTGGCTGGGCTTCCACTGTGGAACCACCCCTCTTTTCAATGCTGCACCATATACATTGCAAGCGCTCAATGTCATTCCCCTTTCATTGTACTCTTTGATCAAAATGTTATATGAAATCATACCAGGAATCCTATTGCCTTCATATATGAGTAAGACTAAAACCTCCAATGCCTCATTGATCATCCCCTCAACGCAAAGCGCTCGAATAACATTGTTGAAGGTGATCGTCCTTGGAGAATTCTCAGTTCTAACCATCTCGCGTAAATTCACTAGGGCCTTCCCAGCCTTCTTTCTACTGCAAAAAACTTCAATAATAAGGCCACAAGTATCAGGANGCAATAACTAGTATACTAATATAATTCTTATTTAATTTTTGGGTTGAAACTTGAATACTTTTTAGTTAATTTCATTGATAAGATGTGATATGTTATTTGTAAAAAAATTATTTGAAATTTTGGATGAATGATTAAATGATATATTTAATGGCAATAAATAGGTGTAAAAATAAGTTATGTGTGTTAAACAGGTCTATGTTATGTGTGCTAAACAAGTCAAAATAACATGTGTGATAACCGAAAAATGACTTGTTTATTAAACATGTCAAACAGGTCGAGTTCGGGTACCCCGCTTAATAGTCAGGTCAGATTAGTGTTTACACATTTCAACACATTCAACACGATTATTAAACATGTCAAGTTCGGGTTTTGAGATTTTTGACACTAATTCGAAATCAACCTAACATGAAATGACTCAATCCGACACATTTGACACCCCTATACAAATTCATGTTTCCCAGAAAAAAAATAATGTCCTAATAAGTTTATTAGGAAATGGACATTTTGTAGAAGAGTGGTTCATTAAAGTTTTTATGAGTTCGAATTTTAACAATTCTTTGAGGTCGAACTATGAGGGATTCTCATGAATCTTTTAGTCCCGGAATACGTGACTTTTCCGTGATTAGAACGGAAAAAAGATTAGTCAAAATATTTGTAAACTTATCCGAACACTCTTGATCGTTGAACTAAAAAAAAAAATTTGCTGCACGGTATATCTATTTGAAAGACAGAAAAATGAAGCTATACAAAGTTTCCAACAGTAGGTATCAATTTGTTGAACTTTGGCTGGGCTTCCACTGTGGAACCACCCCTCTTTTCAATGCTGCACCATATACATTGCAAGCGCTCAATGTCATTCCCCTTTCATTGTACTCTTTGATCAAAATGTTATATGAAATCATACCAGGAATCCTATTGCCTTCATATATGAGTAAGACTAAAACCTCCAATGCCTCATTGATCATCCCCTCAACGCAAAGCGCTCGAATAACATTGTTGAAGGTGATCGTCCTTGGAGAATTCTCAGTTCTAACCATCTCGCGTAAATTCACTAGGGCCTTCCCAGCCTTCTTTCTACTGCAAAAAACTTCAATAATAAGGCCACAAGTATCAGGATAAACATCATAGCCTCTGTTTTTCATTTTGTCAAATACTTCATATGCATCTTTTAACAGCCCTTTGTCTCGTCGAGATCTTCTGCATAGTCCTCTCAGCAGTGTGTTCATCATCCTCTCATCCACCTCAAAACCAGTCCCTAACATCTTCTTATAAATTCTCAAAGCTACCTCAATCTCGCCCCACTTCAACAGCCCATGTAACAATGTGCTGTAACTGATATAATCAGGCATGCAATTTCTCTCCTTCATTTGCTTCAACAAAACTATTCCCTCCAATGGCTTTCCCTCTTTGAAATACCCATTCAACAGAGAATTGAAAGTCACCACATTTGGGACTAGTCCCATTTCCAGCGCTTCATCAAGCAACTCCGTTGCTTCTTTAGAACGACCCACTTTGCATAAACCATCCATAACCGTGCTGTACGAATAAATATCTGGTTTCATGGAAGATTTCTTGATATTCATCAACATTTCAGAAGCATCCTCTACTCTCCCTACATAGCACAGCCCCTTTAACAAGCAATTGTATGTATTGATTGTTGGCTCGCATTTGACTCGTTTCATGACCCTAAAAACCTCAAAAGCATTTTGCAATCTTCCCCTTTTGCAAAATGAATTGATCAACGTAGTGAATATTGCAACATTGGGTTGAAACCCTTTTTCCATCATGCAGTCTAGAACACTCTTGGCCTCAATTGGTTCATTTTTCTTGCAGTAACAACCGATCATAATAGAATATGTCCAATCATCTGGCACTAACCCATAAAATGATATATTGGAGTACAGTTTCAATGCGAGTTCAGGCTCATTTGCTGTGACCAAATCCATGATCACGGCATTGAAGACAGATATGGTCTGAAATCCAGTATCTTTCTCCACAATATCGATGATTCGAATTCTCTCAGTAGTTGGCAGTGCTCTAAGTCTATCACCCAAATCTCGGACTTGTAATCTACTATTTGAATTGTCAAGATTAAGGCTGNTTTTGCAGTAACAACCGATCATAATAGAATATGTCCAATCATCTGGCACTAACCCATAAAATGATATATTGGAGTACAGTTTCAATGCAAGTTCAGGCTCATTTGCTGTGACCAAATCCATGATCACGGCATTGAAGACAGATATGGTCTGAGATCCAGTATCTTTCTCCACAATATCGATGATTCTAATTCTCTCAGTAGTTGGCAGTGCTCTAAGTCTATCACCCAAATCTCGGACTTGTAATCTACTATTTGAATTGTCAAGATTAAGGCTGTCTTCTTCCTTGATGGGTAAGACATTGTTTTTCTCAATCAGGCTAATTTCCCTTTTACCTATTGACCCAGAAAAATCTTTTGGGGATAAGCTTCCAGATTTCTTAATAAGACATAGAGTGGTCGACGGTGAGCTATGTGAAGTATTTCTAACAGTGATTGGTCGTGCTGCTAAGAAAATCAACCTATCTGCTTGGTTTCTATTTTGGTTGCTGAAGAAGAAAAGGCCTTTCGTTGTAGGAAATAGAATGGGAGAGACTGAAGGGCAGAGGACGGTCGATGGCATGGGGATTGCAAGGGAGGCATATAAGAGCGTGTGGAAGAGACTAGGCAGTGGATAAATGGACAACCCAATCATTCATAGAAGTGTGATTTTACTTGACAAAGAGGACCACAAATTTCCTCCACAACCACCAGGAAATAGAGAGGGCGAGACTCTGTATTTTCTATTTAATTATATTTGTCAAGGCGTTTGCTATGCACTAGTAAGGAGCTTCTTAACATGTCACTGCCGTTGACTGGCAAGGGTTAATCCCAGGTCAAACTATCATTTCTTCATATACATGATTAAACCTTGACATAGGTAGAGAGGTTAAGCATTAAGAATTGTACACGTTAAAAAGAACTTATTTTGTACAAGACGTGGGTTATCTATCAGAATTTTCAGAATTAAGTGAATTTACAATAATAACCCTTTTCATAAATTTTTCTATTGATCGAGGTGTATATAAGTTAATTCAGACATCTTAACCATTGAATTTAAAATAAATAAAAATTCAAATTCTTCTCAATACACGTGTGTGTGTGTGTGTGTGTGTGTGTGTGTGTGTGTGTTATGCAAATAAGTTAGCAACACTGAAATGTCAATATAAAGCTTTACCAAATAATGTGATGTGCATATTGATAGCAAGTTCCGAAATTTATGAGCATTCAAAATCGTAGAGATCTACTAAATGCCTTCCAAGACCTGGTGTCCTTTGGATCTGGAACGTCTTTTTTTCCCCACTTTCTACCAAGAATTGGGTTGAGCAACTTCTTCAGAACTTTCTGGAAGCCGGAACGCCGTCGCCGCCGCCCTTGACGTACTTGCGAAACCAGAGGTGGTAGAACCGATGGTGGTGCTTGAGCCCGAGTCAAACTTGGCTCAGATAGACTTCTACCCAGCATAGCCTGGTTCAAACGGATCTCAAACGATAACCTTTCAAACTGGTCCAGCAGTGTGCTTTGCTCATCCCCAAACCTTCTCAACACCACCTCTATTTCGTCCACTGTCGTCCCCATTTGTTCATGAACATCCTTATCTTCTCTCAGCCTCAGAGGTATATATATATATATGATTGTGGGTATATATAAAATTTGAGGGTTTGCACATTGTAATGTGATCAGGAAAGCTGTTTGGTTTTCTTTTGCTTAGTTATGGCTTGAAGGAAGTGTGGGTTTGGCCTTGGGAAGCCAAGCTGAAGTGGGCTGACTGACGAGAGGGGTCTTAGAGAAGTAACTGAGCAAAGTGTCATTAACACGAAAGGCTGCAAGTTGCTCAAAAAATTTATGTAAGTCATAAATAAATACCAGACGGTTCAGTTGTCCATTGTATGGTATATGGTTTGAGTTTTTCGGTGACAGGTTAGCTGCCTTCGATAAATAACGCAGTCAGCTTCATTACTCACTTGTTTTCCAAATTTGTTTTTCAAAAAAATCTATTGCCAACATATATAATTTTTTTTTTTCATCTTTTCAAACACTGAAGAACTATAGTTTCAAAGTGTTTGAAAGAGCACCATTGACTAAAATAGATAGCAATAATGTAGTTGATCAAGGTTTTTTTGAATGAGGAATAATGAGTATTTTCCTGTAAGAATTTATTGAATGCATGCATAAAATAAAAACTTATATTTTTCATGGATGTGCACGTGTGATTGTATGTAAGATAAATATTCAATGTAACAGTGATGTGTGATTGTATGTAAGATAAATATTCAATGTAACAGTGATACAACGTCATTCCTATCATTTGGTGTCACTTTCTGGCATGAAAAAAATCAAATGAACAAAGTGAGTCACACTTTCATANTGTGTGATTGTATGTAAGATAAATATTCAATGTAACAGTGATACAACGTCATTCCTATCATTTAGTGTCACTTTCTGGCATGAAAAAAATCAAATGAACAAAGTGAGTCACACTTTCATACACAGGGTACTTATTATATTACATATATGAATAGTAATTTTATTATGTGAGATTCACTTGTTTATTTATGATTTTATTATTAAATGGTTACACTGCGTCAGCGTACTGATATGGTGTAATCGTCATATTTAATATTTTTTCTCCTATATATGATGCTAATTTCTTCAATTTTTGTCGGTTAAATGTAAGTAAAACCAATGAATTAGTCTTATGACCGAGGGGTTTTACATATTTTTATTTTATTTTATGTATATTTCTCGTGAAATGTCAAAGTGACTACTACGTATTGGAGCCAAAGCCATGAAAGAAGCCGAATTTTCTGCTGATAAAGCTGCATTAACACTATATTCTTCCTTGCTCGATTAAACCTGTGTTTTATTCTTTTACATGTATATAGTGAGTGGTTTTTATTGAGAAGCTAGCTAGCTTATCCTTCACAAAAGCATTAAAGAGACGCAAGCTTAGTCACCACACAGCTCGCTTTGGTCGAAATAAATCTCCAGCACCAGTTCACTCATCACAAAAGCACATTCTTGAAAAATGAAGAGAAAATCATCTGAAAGAACTAATAAACGCGGGACCAGACTATGGTACAGTCTTTTGATTGTTTGATATAGTACCGAAAATCAATGTACACCATAGATTCATCTCACAACAAAAGTAAGTTGTTGATCAATGTGTCCTTTCAAATTTTTTTTTACCAAAGAGTAATCGGTTTGCCTTCTGGTTACTGGTTGGTTGAGTAAATAGACAGTGAAAGAACTTGTCAGATAATACATCATGATTACTAATAATTTTATTAAAATATACTACAATATTGTTACTATAATGAAAGGAATATTTACAATTTCAATAGATAAAAATAGTAGAATTGTGGGTTTATTGAAAAATTTTGTTTACTACATTTTGAAGAATTTTGTTTACAATGTTTGTGTAAATAATTACAAATGGGTGAGGAACCGTTACCACTCTGTATCAACAATTATGACAATTAATGATAAAATTACAACATCATTTAAATTGTTGTTCATCAGATAAAATGATGAATTACCATAGTTATGGATAAAGGTACGAGAGTTGTGAATGTTTTTACAAGACCACAAGAACATTTACTAATGCATACTTTTACAAAAGTAATGAAAAAAATGGTTAAATTTAATTTAGAAAAAAAAATGATGTAATTTAATGAAATTTGTACTTAATTGGTAAATAATTTACAATTACTCCAAGAAAGTATACCAGTTTTGTGGATAAAGTTACAAGTGGAGAGTAATATTTACTAGTGCAATAGTACAGTTTACAGTATTTACTAATCTTTAATTGAACATTAAATATAATTGATCGATCAGTAGGACACAAACTATAATTATATACTTCAAATAATACATCTGCAACAATATGATCGATCATTATATATATTTTTGATTGATCGAATTCACTTACTAATTAAGTTTATGACACTTCAGGGTACGTTTAAGAGGCAAGTGGGTTAATGAAAACATATGAGGAAGGTTTTACCACAAAAGTGAATAATTTAATGTAAAGGTTACAAGTTCGTATGAAAATTGTATTTCTAGGTTTGATAGTGTTGCGCTAAAAGTGGTTAATATTGTGAAACTATAGGTAAGTATATATAACATGTATGAGAGTCATTATTGGTAATTTTTACTACGAATGTGATAAAAATGATATTCATAGATATACCACCATAATGGTTAGATTTCATAAAGGAGTAGAAAAATTACGTCATTTAATGAAATGTTTATGACATTTGTGAATAATTCACAAGTATTTGAATATAATTACTAGTTTCGTGGATAAGTTTACAAATATTATTACGTTATTTGTGGATAAATTACACGTAGTTGAATAAGATTTACTAGTTATGTGATGTAAAATACCAACTTTGTTAATGAATTTACAAGTGTATAGGAGTATTTACTTCCGGTATAGTATAAATTATAATATTTGTGCATACTTTTATGAGTGTTAAGGATATAGTTACGAGACAGGTTGGATACATTAAAACATTGGTATTTAGCTTCACACCCGTAGAATTACCTCAACTGAAACTTCAGTCTTCACGCTTGCTGCTTCGCCAACTAGCACTCCCCGATTACTCGAAATCATTGAGCCGATGTTGCACCTTGGCATTGTCTTTTCTCCTGTTGCTTGATGCATTTTTCTATCCATTTTCCCACCAACTCAATGATTTCATATGCCAAAAGACCTTGCCCCCCAAGGCCTTGATCCACGAGGAACATTCTTTGTGAGGCATGTTCGTCTTCATCTGATCGGCTCATGGGATTTGATTCCGTGACTGTCGGGGGCCAAGTAGCCTCTATGTTTCTCACGCATAAACTACCTTCCCCCTCAGCCTGGGATTGTGTGTTCACCATGACACGATCGCTACACAAAATAGTTTGTATAGTTTCCCATAGATGGCACCAAATTGCACAGGAGATTTTTTTCAATAGATTAAGATAACAATCCTCTCGATGATGAACTTGAAACAACCACAAGGTCAGAATAGAGGGCTGGATGAACATCCGACTTATCCCCTCCAAAGCTTAAGTCAGTATAAGTTTGGAAGCTTTTACACAACGTTTTTTTTTTCCTCAGTTTAGTCTTGCGTATCTTTGTTTATTTTTCTGAAGAGTATTTATACCTGGATTACTAATCAATGTCAAGACTTGAAGTCTCATCTCACCATTTAATGACTTGCACTCTTACTCATACGTAATGAGTGTTCTCCACTAAGATTTTCCAGTCTAGTTTACTCGGGCGATAGGATAACTGCTCGGGACATGCCGGACACTTATGGCCCTATCCCCGGTCATTCAAGTCTTCTGACCGGCATTTTGACACCTAGTCCGGAGCAATCAATACTCAGGGGGAACCGTATTTTATGGTGCGTTGAGGAGATATACTCGACATAATAGCTATTGATGCCTCGCAATCATGACTGTTGCTTCTGGTCTCGAGGATTCAAGAGCTCATTAATAGCCTTGTTTGAGTCACTCACATCTCCATAATTGAGTTGTCAAGTCGCCTTAAATGTTAGTGTCAGTTTGTGTACTCGGCTCCTCCGAGCCATTACTCTTTGGCGCCACTTCTCAACGCCTTTTGCATTCCATAACGGTTGCATCTTTACACGTGTCAATCTAAGGGCTGCTGAGCTGCCTAAAGTCCGTCAAAAACTATATATTTTATTTATTTCATTTACATTTTAAACCAATTTAACATAAGTCAAACCCCAAATATATATTTAATGGGTCGTTTTGTCTCACTAATGGGTCAATTTCATTATTTCGTATTTATATAATTGTTGGATTACTTTCATGTTAGATTTAATTAGTCGTATTCGTGTCATTGACGGGTTAATTTTTTGTCTATGTCGACACAATTAATTAAATGTGTCAATCATTATAATTTTATATTATATAGGTTAAATTCAAATAGTACTCATTTATAAATTAATGTAATAAATCGTGTTGTTTTTGTGTTTGTAACTTTGTGTTCTAAATGGTGCCGAAATTTCTGAACCATGGTACGACGGATCCTGAGAGTCCCAAATTAGAGTTACTTCTTTTATGCTAAATACACAGTTGCACTCCATTAAACGCGAGAGAATGATTAACACGCCGTTAAAAAAAAAAAAAAGAGTTGGGCTTTGGCGGCGTCAACCATCTATTACCGACAGTTTCATATCCTTTGTATCTGACTTATTAAAAAAAAGTAAATTACACTTTGCTTTTTTAAATTATTATATCTTTATTTTATTTTATACCCTTAATTATAATTTTTTTATATTATACTTTAAAATATCAATCTTATTTCATATCACTCTAATAGTTAACAATAAACTTAAAAATTTGTCAAAGAAAGAAGGGAAAATTAGCTTCCTATCAAATGTCTAGTACAACTTTATTTTACTTTTTTTATAATTAAATAATTACTAAGAAGAAAAAGAAGATCAACCAGAAGAATAAAATTTGGAGTGTAAAAAGTAAAGAGTCGTGGATTAGTATTTTGCTTGATTTTAGATCTGGACATGTTCAATGACAGTTATATGCATTTATCTTAAAAAAAATAATAGCCGTTATCTATTAGAGAGATATGAAATAAAATTAATACTTTAAGGTACAATGTGAAAAATTTTATAATTAAGATTACAATGTGAGACAAAGATAATAATTTAAGGAGAAAAAGTGTAATTTACCCATAAAAACACTATTTAATTTTTTTTTAAAACGGTGCGTTTAAATTAAAACTTAAAAGCTCTGAAAAGCCAGCTCTGCGTGTTTTCTCCAACTTTCACTCCCTTCCCTCGTCAGGTTAGATTCAGAAACCTAAAACCCTGGCCTTGAAAATTCTCATATTGCTTCTTCTTATCTGTGTAAGTATTACAGAACTACACTTCGAGCTCTCTATTATCTTTGCCCTAGTATAAATTTGCCTGGTTTTTTCTTATTCTTCTTCTGCTTGTTCTCCTTTGCTTAATCTCAATCAATCATCGTTGATTTTAAGCTCTGATTATTCTTGTTTGCTAAAAAATGACTGCCTTGGACCGACTGTTGGGACACACAGTGGGATTTGGTTCTATTGATACGGCTGCAACAGGCTAAGAGGTTCTCGAATCCAAAAGTGGCAGGATTTTATTGGAATGGACATAAATGGATTTATTGCTGTAATTCTCGCGTTCTTCATTGTTGCGGGTTCTTCCGATGCCTTATTTGTCTGGAATTTCCGAAAACTAACTGATGCTGTCCCAAATAATACCTCTCCCGACACCCGGGTAACTTTCCCTCCTCCCTCTCTCTCTCTCTCTCTCTCTCTACATACCCATAAAATTGGTGTTTTTTCAAAAGAAGTATACGATTGTTACTGAAAAATGAGTTTGGTTCTAGATTTCGCCGTCCCTTAGTCCAGTTTCTGGTGGCGGATCGAAACGTAATCCAATTGATGCAGATGAGTCTGGAAAAAAGAAGCTCAATGATCATCAGGGGACAACAGATTCGTCAAAGGCGGATCCGAAGGGCTCCAGCAATAGCACTACTGGTTCTGTGACTCCAACCACTGAAAAGCAAGCGGACAAGGAGAAGAATCACCAAGGGAGTGAAAAAGGTGACAAAACAACTGATTCCCGGTTGGGTACCAATGAAAGTTGTAAGGAGTCACCTAAGTCGTGCACGGACGACAAGTCTATACTTGCCTGCTTTCATGGTAATTCTCTGTCCCTTTTTTAGCCAGTTTTTTAGTAATATATTCATTGTCAATGTGATGTTGGAAGCAATTTTGCTTTTTAAAAAATGGGTTTGTATTTGCAGTTGGTTGTAGTTTAGTGAGTAAATATTCATTGCAACAATGAGACCACGCCATTAGTTTCTTATTTGATATATTATCATTGGTCGGTGATATTACACGTCGAAATAAATATTTTCTTGTAGTTTAGGCACATGACATGTTTGCTGATGTAAAACTACAGTTTTTTTTAAAAAATTTTCCAGTAGTATAGTGAATCACATGAAATGTGGGATCTTTGCACCTGAGCTATCAGCCATTCCAAACTTTTTATTGTTGTCGTCAATTTTGTCGCAGAAGGATCGAAATAACTTGATAGTTCAACATATCTAAATATGTTCTGTTGTAAAGGAGAAATCCCTTAACATGTAAAAATTGCAAGGTCATTACAGAAATATTTTAATTTTACAACATTGGCTAACAGTATTAGATATCTACCCGGTATTATTATAGCAAAAAGGTTTGAAGGTGAGGGCTTGGGAAGTCTTCACTTCTTCTTTCTTTGATTTGTGAATTATTGATTTATTATTAAAATTAAAATATTCTATCCAATTACTTTCTACTAACTGTCCCCAATACCCTTCCACAAACTCATTGTCAAAGTGTCCCAAATAAACTACGCACAAACTCCCTCAATAACTACCCTACAATTCAAATTTGTCAAGTTAATTTTTATAATTTTATAATTCTTACAATTCTCTTTCTAATTTGTAATATAATGGGTGAGAGAGAAATAGTTAGGATTAAGGATTTGTTTGAGTCGCGTAGAGTTGGGTGAGGGAAAAAAGGTAAAAGAAAGGGATTTGAAGGGAAAAGGGAGGGGTTACAAGTTCCGTGCATCACACAGGCCGAACCCTAATGGATAATGTAGAAACAGAAAAGTGACTAGAGTGGAATTTCAAAGGGGAGCAACAGAAATAATGGAAGCCAAAGTGTAAAGAGGCAACGTGGAAGTTAAAATGTCAAATTAATATTATGTGGAATATCAAGACAAAATGCATTAAAGGAAGATTGAGAGAAGGACTCAGACAATCAAATGGAAGGGAGTTTGTATCTATAAGAAACTCTATGATGGAATGATGAGGTACAAGCTGTATTGAAAACCAAATAAAAAAAACTTTCACTTTCTTGTAAATGAGGCTTGGTTATTGATCGTTTTCTTCTAGACATGTAATTCCTACACTCTAGCTGCAATTATAGAACATACCTTCTTGGTTAAAACTCCAATTCTCACATTTATCCTTTCATTCTTCATTGCAGCAGGGCCTAGGGAATGGATACTTCTAGTCCAAAATGAAGAAGAAAGCATTTTGAAAGTGAATCTTAGCATTCCAATTTCTGAGGAGAACCATTGGCAAACTTTTGAAATATCCGGACATCAAACTACAAAGGTATGCATATGGCATCTCTACTATCATGTTATTTTCATCTGACCTTGTTATAAAAATTGTGAGCAGATGATGTTGGAGATCTATAAAAATAGTGATAATTGATGAAAATGGCAAATTAATGACATAATAGGTCGATAGGTTCAAGCTCAACATTTTTGAAGATTTTAAGGATATGTGTTTTAAAATATTAATTATGCGGTTCAGCATTATTAGTTTTGACATTTTATGTGACAAAAATACACTAAATTATCATTTATCACATTTACACATGATCAAAAGCATTGTTTTCCCTTATCCGGCCAGAGGGTTCTCTCTTTTCTCCCTCTCTCTCTCTCTCTAAAACACACACATAGCTATGTTCTCTCTCTACAACAGAGCACTTATTTATTTCATCAATCTTTCTCTCTCTAAAATTCACACACACAGGGTTGTGTGTTGTCACTGGCAACCCCGAAAACCTTGCTGCTGACAAAGGAGGATCTCTCATGCATGTATTTGTGTACATCTTTCATCCCTCTGTCGTCGAGCTTGTTAGTCATCGTTGAGATCATCAATCCCCATCACCTGTTTCGGTCATTGGTTTTCGTTATTGGTCATGTCATTGTCGATCATCGGCTGTGACTCATCGCCAGTCCTCTATCGTTGTGTGTCCTTTGTCGTCCAAAGTTGTGTTGGCCATCCTTGTTGACTGTTGCAGTAGTCATCATTTTTGTTGAATTCTGCGAAGGCTTTAGATTTGAGATCAATTTGGAGAAGAAGGCAGTGTGTTCTGTGAATACATTTTTTGAAGGTGGCGTGCGATTGGTCAGATATTTGGTGTTGACAGGGAAATTGTATTTCACTGTCAGGTGGTTGGATAGCAGTGGCTTAGTGCTAGGGTTGTGGTTGGGTTGCAGACTTTGTGGCTGGCCACATTTAGGCAGTAAAATATGTAATTCGTTGTCTTACATGGTGAAATTAGACAATGAAAAATTTCACCATCTAGGTGGTTGGTTGTGGTGGATTAGTGGCTGAGTTAGGGGTTTGGTTTCAGTGGGTTGGTTGCTGGGTTGGGTGTTGTCTGGTTTGGCTGGGGCGATTGGCTTATATTTGGTGCATTTCTTGGACAGTGACCTAGATTTGGGTGTATTTTACTACCTAAAATGGGAATTGTTTGATTTGTTGTGATAATGGATGTTTGCTTTGTGATGATGAATGAAATGTTTTTAACAGTGAGATACATTTTTTGTTGTTGAACTTTGGATAGTGATTTTTTTCTGTTGTGAAATGTCAATATGGAAATTTGGATTACAAGATGGGAAGGCAAGTGTAAAGGTGGGGTGGTGATGTAGGGCAACTTTGTAAAATAACAATAGGAACTGTTTAGAGGCTGTGAACAGTAATTTTGACTAGGAATCACTCTTAGGGTTCCTTAGGCATCACACCTAGGGTTAGAATTGCATCACACAACTCAAGAAGCATGTAATTGCTGAAATTTTTGAATATCTTCCTCTATCTATATTTTATTAAAACTAACACTAACTATATATAGAGTTCTAAGTACTTTTAATCCCAAAAGATTAGGATTTCAGAGTCTCTAGAATTCCAAAAACAGTAGGTCCCTACAAATTAGAAAACTAAAATTAACTAGAAGTAGGATTTTAAATTTTAGAATATTCAATACTAGAATTTGACTAAAAAATATGACCTGTTCCAAAAATCTTACAAAATACAAAAAGTACCCTTGACACTAAAAAATATTGAAAGGACATAAAATACTAATACTAGCAAATTGACTTAAAATAAGAATGCAAAGTTCCATATGGATCTCTGTCTTGATGGAAAGCCAATTCTATTATCTTTCACATCTTCGAATTTGCATTTCCTTGAGTATCTTATGGATTGCATCAGGTGGTCTGTTCTCTATCTTGGACCATGAAATTGGGTTTTATTTACTATCCATTCGTCCTCAATTATTTTCTCTTTCATTCATTCAACTTCATCTATCTCTCACAAATCTTAAGAGTGAAATATTATGCGAAAATATTTTGCATCCATTTATCGTAGTTTTTAGTACTAATGTTTGGTTGGTCTATTTTAAGGGGGTTATAATTATTCTAAAACTTTCGGGTGATTTTCAGTTGACTCACACTCATTTTCTAGTGCATGTACCCACCCGAACTTCATTGTCAATGTTGTCGCCATCGAAATCGCACCACCGTCAAACCTTTCGTTGTCATCAATCGTTGGCCACATGGGAGGGAAAGTTTGTGTGTGTGTGTGTGTGAGAGAGAGAGAGAGAGAGTAGAATTGTGTTAAGAATACAAAACCCTAAAATTAGGGAAGAAGTAAGGGATTCTGGAATTTTAAATGAACTGTTTTTTCTGCGACTAACATGAAACTGTCTGCTTTTTTTTCAATAAGACAAACAGATCTTTTTATACAGTGTTGTCTTTTAGGACCCAAAAACCTTCTGCTTGAACCTGTTAATGTATAAGTTCTGTTTTGTGGACTTAGAGTCCTTTTCCCTTAAAAGTAAAGAATAGAATGATATATTGTTCGCTGCTGCCATTTTGAAACAGTAATATGAACTAAACATGTAGGTTTTTTGAGAAGCCATAATTAGTGTGTTGTTGATTATTTATGTTAATATAGAAGGAGCCGGTAGCGAAGAGGAAGGGGGAACTGCACAACCATATTTGATCATATTCAGTTGTGGGATTTGAGACTAAGGTGCATGCAGGAGCCACTAGGCTGCCCTTTTTCTTGCACATGTTGCCACAGCGTATGGTTATTAAGTTACTGCTGGTACCTAGCTGATTCAAAATGGGTTTACCAATATCTGATGTATCCTTTTTAGGATTTCTGTCAGAGATCATGACTAAAATGAGTAGTGGAAGAAAGAGAAGGAAAATGCTGTTTTTTGGCTTGATTTAGGTGACATTTAGATTTCACAGAACATTATTCATGTTTAGTGGATTGAAATAAACAATAAAGCAGATCTAAATTCTTTTGTTTGGAAAAGATTTGTCATGGTGAAAGTGAGGAAAATGCCATAGTGTTTGTAATTCAATACACCAAACATCAGATGTTTAAACTAAGCAATGCGTATCATTGCAGACAAGTTTCTTGGGGATCAACAATTACCCGATGCATTTTGTTATCTTTAGATAGAGCTGATAAGTATCAGCTGACGTGTAGGTAAATAAAAGAATAAGGAACAATAATAAGAATATTTGAAAGAATTAAATTGTCTTTTTCTGAAAATAAAATCTTTTGTATTTGGAAGTACTTATTACAGGAGGAACAGTTGATGGGAGAAACTTCTTTTTGGTAAATGGGATAATTATATTTGGTTTTTCATGTTAGTTTGAAAATAACAAGAAAAAACATATAAGATTTTGCGGGGTAAATAAACATACCTTAGTTTTCCAGTCATGTGGATGACCTCGGTTGTGTACAGGATGTCATGACTTATCATAAGTACTAAACTCTATTTTAGTCCGGTGTCTGCTAATTTGTTTTTCTAAGCAATTCTAATTTTTAATTCAACTGTCTAGCGAAAATATGTTAATAATATGCAAGGGTAAGCCTCTTTATTTTGTGTCCCAAATGATTTGTTGTGTTAATTTTTTGTTTTACTTGTTCATCTATACTTTGACTGTAAGACCGAACATCAGCTAGTAAACCACTGGCATAGATTAAATTAGCTAGCAGTAATCACTACTGATACATATGTCCCTCATTCCAGGCCTCCGGTTTGTGTAGGGCTTCCATACATTACGGCAGTCCTCTGTATGATCTGCAAGTTGCAACTGTGCATTCTAGCTAAAGTTTGTGAAATTACCTTGGTTTTTCTATTAAAGTTTCACCGCCCTCCTTTGTTTGCTGCTTTGTTGTAGATCAATATCACTTCGAGTATGGGCAAAAGCTCTAAAATAGTACTAAATGCTGGAAATAAGGATTGCGTGATTCACATGGAAACTCCTGATTATAAAAGGGAATTTTTCAAGAAAATCTCTTTTTATTCTAAGCAAATAACCCCCATCTATGGTGCTTACTTTTTGCTTCTGGTAACACTAATATTTGGTGGAGCATGGGCATGCTGCAACTTGAGGAAGAGGAGACGGCTGGGTGGTGTTGCATATCAAGAACTTGAAATGGGATTGCCAGAATCTGCTTCTGCTGTCAATGTGGACACAGCAGAAGGTTGGGATCAGGACTGGGATGATGATTGGGATGAGGATAAGGCAGTGAAGTCACCAGGGGGACATCATGTTGGAAGCATCTCGGCTAATGGTCTTACTTCTAGGTCGTCTAGAAAAGATGGATGGGAAAATGACTGGGATGATTAGAGGAGATTGTATGTTCAGAAGAGTGAAAAAAAGGTGAAATTTTTCCCAGGAGAAAGAAATACTGGAGAAATGAAAATTTAAGGTCAGAACACTTTTTTTGGCAATTCATGTTGCTTCTTGGTGGCAAAGGTGTATATTCCTTTTTGTTGGCTTTACGGTTTGTTGTGTAGTATAGCATGCAGTTTGGGCCATCCTTGGGGTCTGTTTCTTTCAAGCACATCTGATGTAATTTTTGTTAGTGGTAATACCATTGCAGTGACAACACACAGAATGTAAAGCACCTCTGTTATTCTCTTAAGATTGTGAAACCAATGATAAAATATGATAGTTTAGTTGTGAGATTATACATTCTTTTAAAGATTCAATGATCATATTTTACCCTCGTTTAAATTTGGGTTTGTCCTCATTTAAATTTGAGTTTTTCTTCCTTTAAATTTGGATTTTTTCATTGGAGAGGTCTATACAAAATTAAGTTTTTTAACTTTTTTTTTTTTCACTCAGGTAAGAGTTTGAATTTTGATTGGAAATTATCTTAGTATAGATCAGATGAAGTGGAAGCATGACAAAAAGAAAGCATTCTATGTAGTCTTCCATGAAATATAAAGAATGTTATGAGCTGAAGGAGTTGATGGGTTAAACCACTCCATTCTATTACTAGCTTAGCAATCTTGCTTCCGCAAGTAGAGTGCAGACCTAGACTTTAATTTCAGTTATAAACTCTCTCTCTCTCTCTCTCACACACACACACACACACACACAATAAAGTTGCACGTCTTCACTTTATTCTGTAGAATGCCACAAGAAGTGAGAGTTATTATGGGAAAGAATTCGTTTGTCCCCACATAATTCCTTTTAACAAAGTGCGCTCTCTCCCACTAGCTACGTGGTGAAAGTTAGTATGGTGTGTATCATTCTGTCTTGATAAAGTAAGTAAACAGGATTGAATAAAAGGCAAAATTCTTCTTGTTCTTCCACGGCAATTCAGGGCTTTCCCAAAATTCAATAAAGCTTTCTCTCCCTTCATCATTTATTATCATTTGTCACAAGCCACGCACGTTGATTACTTCACAAACTTTTCCAACATTCTGCTTTGCTCTCTTTCATGATTTTATTGCTATGAAACACAGTCTAAAATGCTGTATTAATGCCGAGTCATAAGGTTCTGTGTCTATGTACTGTGAGTTCCCTGCTCTAACAGAATGGATCCACAGCTCCCGGGATGGAGATTATGGCAATAAAAAAGCATCATCAAAGTTCCATTTCGGTTTTGTATGATATATACTAGTAGAGTACAACTAAGTAAATAAAATATGGGGATGGAACATCTAAAGCTGCCTATGGTGTCACTGAACATGATAGCAACGCACTATATAATGCTGTTTTAGAGAGACTACACTCGAGGACCCCCTGCCCATGTGAAATGCTTTAATGATGTCAAGGACCATTGATTAGGTCCCCTTGGAATCTTAAATCAATTGATTAAACAAAACTTCATATCTAAGCAATAATAATAATAATAATAATCAAACCAGCATCACTCAAACAGATGGGTTGACTGTCTTGGAGCCAATTGGTTGTTGGTAAGGAGCATGAGCGGGCTCAAGCAACAAGTAATGAAACGGAAGCCTCTGGTCAAACAGCGTGTTAATCACACTTCCAACTTTACAAGAGGACAGTACATGTTGTACTAGTAACTAGCTGCAATGCACGTTATGTTTTAGATGCCAAAAGTGTTGGACCAGCTTCTTGTATAAACTTCAGAACAGTCGAATGGCAGCATAGTTTGGACCCGGTGAAAAGGAATCTAGTAATCTTACTCTAATACACATTTGAAAAAGAAAAATGATATAACAGAAATATAGAGCAACAACAAACAAAAGGTTGAAAAGAAAGAAAACTTTCAGATATATATTTTCTTTTTTCTATTTGAACAAACCAACCAGATTCCTCTTCGCCGGAAAACCCATTCTGTATTGCTTTCTCCAATCTCTCGTAGTCAAATTCATTCCAACTCCTCTTGGCCTTCCGAAGGACTTTGAATCAGCTCTAGAATTCTGATCACCTCTTCCATGTCTGGCCGGTTTGATGGCACTTGAGATGCACATATCAAACCAAGCTTTACTACTGGAATGGCCTCTTCTACCGGAAAATTACCCTGGAGCTTCCTGTCAATGCATTCCTCCACCCTGCTGTCCTCCAATGCTCGTCTCACCATGTCACACAGCACCACCACATCATCCTCCATGTATTCCACAGGTCGCTTCCCTGTTACCACCTCAAGAGTCAAGACTCCAAATCCATATACATCACATTTCTCGGTTATCTTCACCGTTTGACATGCAAATTCAGGAGCCATGTAGCCAAGGGCACTCTGAATCTTGCTGCTTAAGATGTAACGGTCTAACATAGGCAGTAGCCTCGCCAGGCCAAAGTCTCCTACCTTGGCCTCACCAGAATTGTCTATCAACACATTAGTTGACTTCATATTGTAGTGAATTACATTCAGTTTGTGCAAATGAGCCAAACCTTTTGCTATACCAAGAATTATGTTGAATCTTTGTATCCAAGAGAGGCAGTTTTCGGACTGTCCCTCGTGGAGATATTTATACAAACTCCCACTGCAAACATATTCATTAATGAGGAGCTGCAAGGATGGAGTCCAGTAATACCCTTCAAGTGCCGCCAGATTATGATGCCTGATCTTTCCAAGTTTTTTAACTTCCCTCTCGAAATCTTCTTGGGATTTGATCAAGCTTGAAGCGTTTAGCTTTTTGATGGCAACAGGACGCCCATCTCGAAGAACAGTTTGGTAAACTGCTCCAAAGCCACCACGCCCAAGTTCACAATCCTTGTTGAGTAGTGCTTGAGCACCAGTAGCAAAGCCAGCATCACTAGAGAACATGACAAGCTTGCCATAGTTTGTTTCACTAGTGTGGGAATGGCTGAAATCATCCTCAACTGATAATGTGAGGGCAGCAGCAGAGCGTGACATAGAAGAGCGGACATGCAGATTGAGGATAGTGATGGTTACTACACCAAGGGCAATGAAAACAGCTGCCCCAATGGCAATGAGAGCAGAAATACTGAGTATAATTTTCTGGTGACGGAGATTTGGAGCAAATGTTCCACGATTGGAGTCAGATGAAGAATTTGGGTTAAGGACAATGGGCTTCGGATGGACAGCAGGGCAGGACTGATTGAGAACAGATCCACATAGGGATGGATTTCCTGCAACAGATGAGGGAGGGATCGTGTTGAAAAAGCCACCAACTGGAAGTTCACCTTGGACGTGGTTGTTGGAGATATTAAAGCTTAAAAGGTGGGAAAGATTTGTCAGCTCCTTGGGCAAGCTTCCAGAGAGGTGGTTGAAAGACAAGTCCACAATCTGGAGGTTGGTTAGGTTTGCAATTGCTGCAGGGATGGGACCAGTAAGGTTGTTCTGAGACAGGTCCCTATACAATTTTTAGGAATGCATAATCAGTGAAGTTTTCATAACCATGTATTGCCAGGCTCCTCAGCTTACAACTGATAAGCACAGCGATAAATAAAAATAACTCAAACTTATATCTCTAGGCTGGAGGACATACAAAAATAAAAATTAACAGCATCAGAGAGAGATTTTCTTTTAGAAGCAAAACCTAAATTTTGTTTTCAAGATAGTCATGTTCATCAAGCATTCAGAAATAGGCTACTCAATCCACTTGAAGTGCGCAGACTTCAAACTTATGAAGAAAGAACAGCTCCACCAGCTCACACAGTCAGTTTTAATTCATCAAATGCAGTTGCTTTGTTTGTTCGGGTATAGAAGAATGATTGATAATCACGAAGTGCGTTATTAAGAAAGTTCTTAAATATGGGTCGATTTAAGAAACAACAATGATAAGTACCTTAAGATGCACCACAGATACATACATACATGGGAAAGGTAAAGTTCAAGATAGCAATGGACTTACAGAGAGGTTAGAGAGGAGCAATGTTCAATATCAGATGGAATCTCTCCGGTCAGGCTGTTCCTCTCCAGCCTTAGCTCCTGCAAGGAAACCGCTCCTCCAATATCAGAGGGAATGCTTCCATTTAGCCGATTATGGCTCAAATCAAGGACTTGTGTAGCTTTTAGTTCACCAACACTTAGTGGAATAGAACCACTCAGAGAATTCCTGGATAAATTCAAGACCTGCAAGCCAGTGAAATTCCCAATTGCAAAGGGAACACCACCAGATAATGCATTAGAAGATATATCCATGACCTGAAGGCTTTGTAGAGAGGCTGCCATTGATTTCAGAAGAGTGTATTCAATGCTTCCATTAAATCTGTTCCCTGAAAGATAAACACTCTTCAGCCCCAACTGAAAAGTCCAGGCAGGAAGATTACCAGTCAGCAAATTCCGGCTAACATCTACAGCCAAAAGATTAAGGCAATTTGTCAACGACTCTGGCAAGCTTCCCAGGAACCGGTTTGTTGACAAATTTAATTCCTTCAAGAATTGAAGGTCTCCTAATGAGTTGGGAATTTGACCAGAAAAATTATTTGCCGAAAGATCTAAAAGTTCAATGCTTCTCATGTCTCCCATCCAATCTGGAAATTCACCTGTGAATGAATTTCTTCTTAAACTGATATAAGTACACAAACTAAGCTTCTGCATTGACATTGGAAGGACCCCGGAAAGAAAATTCTCACTAAAATCTAGTTTTCTCAATAGCAAACAACCTCCAATGTCCTCAGGCAGCTGTCCGACGAACCTGTTCTTCCGGAAATTAATTGCTCTTAAATCATACAGAATTTCAATTCCTCGTGGAATCTCACCCTTCAACAAATTATCTGACAAGTCAAGTGATCGCAAAGCGCTCAAAGACCATATCCCAGAGGGCAGAGTACCTGAAAGATGATTCGAAGAAAAGTTGACACGCTCAAGTGTTGAGCATGAGCTCAAGGAATCTGGAATTAGACCAGTGAGGTTGTTCTTGGCAACTGAAATTGCCCGTAACGACCCACATTGTCGGAAAAGCTCATCAGGAATCGGCCCAGATAGATTATTTTCACTCAAATCAACAACCCGCAAAGTCCCAATTTGGGCGAGGATGGGATTAATAGTTCCAGTGAAGTTGTTCTTGGACAGTGATAGTATTCGAAGGAACTGTAACCGGACAAGGCTTCGGCCAATATGGCCGGAAAGAGAAAAGTTGTCAAGGACAAGTTCAGTGACCCTATTGCTCCGAGGATCGCATATTATGCCAACCCAGTTGCAAGGAGAGTCGTCGTCTTCGTTCCAAGATGTGAGCTTTGCTTCTGAGTCTATAAGGCCAGCTTTGAAGACAATCAATCCCAAAACGTCGTCATTAAAAGCTGGTTCTAAAGAGTCTACAAGTAGGGGAACTAAAAATATAACAAGTAGCAACTTTAGTACCATTTTACTTTTTTTTTTTTGGCTGTGACAAAAGGAAGACGACAAGTTGTTATCTCGCCATGAAAGGGTTCAAAGAAGCTTATTATAGAACAGGGCTAAGACGTAGAAACGTTTGCAGTATGTCTGTATAGATATAGAAAGAAGTACCAAAAGGGTCCGAGGAACAGGGGAAAAAAATACACAATTGGAACTAAAAGAGAACTTACAGTGAACGCATAACACAAGAATTGAGTCGCAGTTTATAGCTCAGAGAGAGAGAGAGAGAGAGTATCTACAAGCTGTGAAGGACGTATTAAAGAAGACAGAACCTTAAAAAGACTGATTCATTAGCAGCATTCAAAGCTAAACAAAACACAGAATGTGATTAGTACAGAGAGAGAGGGAGAGAGATGAGTGTTAGATTTAAAAAGTGAAAATGCAGGGTTTAGGGCCTTGGAGCAAGAATTTTTAGGCCGGGAATCAAAAAGTATTTTGAGTTATTGAGCCGCCGAGAAGTACGCCGGAAAAGGCGAATCGAGGGTAGAGAGACAGCCAGACAGGTTTAGAAATTACGAACCCTCCGTGTAGTACTTAATAGTAGAGGCCATTAAAGTGGTGTCAGGGTGGGTTGTTGGTGGGAGGAGGGGAGGCCTATGGTCTTCTGATTTCTGAGAGACCTATGGTCTTCTGAGAAAGAGAGGAGGAGAGTTAAAAGCTGTGTCAGTGTTGCTCCCATAATTTTTTCTTTTATATTGTACTGTTTCTAAAGTAATAAAGTATAAAGTAAAAGCATGTATACGCAGATAGATAGATTGTAACGGCGAAAGTGGAGCATTTGGCTCTTGTGTTGTGATGTGGCGCCATTTACTTCTCTGCCTCTGCCTCTGCCTCTGCCTCTGCCTCTGCCTCGGCTTTAAGGAAGGACGACGAGGTCACTGCCCCCACTGCTCCCACCACGCACGTAAACAAGTATTTGGTCAAACAGGAATCCGAGGTGCCATATTATACATAATAATAATAATACAATTCCTTATACTACAAGCCTTGTGTATGTTTATTTGCTAATCCAAATCGTGTTACACTAATCCTCTTTGAATTTAGTTTACTCATTTACTTGATTTTCAGTTACAGTTCCTCTCTCTCTCTGTGCCCCCACGACTTGAACACTTGACATTGTTGGTTGCAAAAAAAAAAAAAAAAGAGGGAAAAATTCTTCAACAACGATATGTTTATTCCTATTTGGACAGTCTCATTTGACTTCATAATAGAAACCTACAACAAGGGTATTTAATTTTATACTCAGCTTATTATAGTCTAAAGCCCATCCAGCATCTCTCAGCCAACCTTGAAATTTGTGTAGATCCTTCCTTATTGCTATAATATTCTTTGGGTTCGGCCACATATTATACTACTCTTTCTCACGCCACCTCCATTCTGTAATCTATTTTCAATAGAATAGAATTGCGTGATGTTGACTTAAGTATATCCAACTCACTCCTTTTTATTATATGATATTATGATAGTTCACCCTCAAGGTATTTGTGGTAATTGACGGGTCAAACACATCCACTTTTCTCATTGTGAAATCTTTTAGAAGTTAAAGAAACCGTAGAAAGATTATTTTTTGGGTAATACTATTAAGAGTTAAAAAATTAATTTAATAAAGAGACAACGACATGATTTAATGGTATATGTTATTGAAACTCTAAGTTTATAACTATAAGCAATGCTATTGTGACCTAATTTATAATGATCTTTGGATTAACTGTGGGTTCTATCAGACATTAAAATTTAGTGTCTATCCAATAGTTTCAATAAAATCACGTCATTAGATCAGTAAATTATGTCAGATTTTTAAATCTCACTAGTATTCTCCTATAAGTATTAGATTTTTTTAGTGCAACCTTATCATTTAATACATCATTCTATCAACAAGTTAAACCAATTATCATTCCTCTTACTTTTTATACAATGGGACAGCAAAATGACAAAGACCCGCTCTTCTTTTTCCCTTATTATCACAGCAAGAGCATTTTCAATCTTGATTTAGATTTTTATTCAAATTTGAATTAATATTTGAGTAAAAACTTGATTTGATACAAAAAAAAAGGAAAAATTTAAATTTAAATGAGAACAAATTCAAATTTAAAAAAAGGTAAAATATAATTATTAAATATTTAAAAGATTCTAAAATCTCACCATTAAATATCTAATGAGTAATATCATGTGCATAAAAAATATGTATTAAAATTTACGCCAAATCACTTATAATTGTTGAATTAGTTGATCTCATCAGTGATCCAATGAATGTAGTTAATTTGATATAAGTTTTGGTGTACAAATTTAGTGCACATAAAATTTTCGAATTCTGATTAAAAAGAAATGGAATCAAAACTTTAGTACTGACTGATGACAAAAGAGAACCGAGAGAGCATTGATAGTGGTTAGGGGAGGAGCCAATATCCTCCTTTTGAAATAATAAAACCAACAATAAATAAGATTCTCAACCTCTTACCAAAGCTCTTTGTCTCGATCAGCCTGTTCCTGGTGTTTGGTTGTGGAGTTTGGGCTGTTCTTAAATGTGAGTCTCAGACCTCATTTGGCCTGTATAGATTGACTTAGACTTTACACTCTTATCGACATATATTAAATACAAATATAACTCGGTCTTAAATGTGTTTCTTGGGGTTTGCCTTATTAGATTGCAGATGAGTGGCGTACATGGCGCGCTATCCAAATCTCTACTAAACAACTTTCTACAAAACAACCAATGTAAGAAAAACAGTCTTAAGATTTATGGTTATGAATTTTTTAATTTCAACGTCGATGACTTATTTTTGATCAGATCGAAAAAAAAATTAATCGAAATATGCGTAAGATGATCCAGACACTTCTAGCCACTAAACTAAAGATCAAAAAAAATAAAATAAAATAAATAAGATGTTGAAAGTCACATTACATTACATACAGCTCTTTAATTAGCAGGGCCGGCCCATACACAAATGGAGCCCAACACTTTCGTTTTCAGATTATGGACGTAGCCCCCTTTCAGGGCCTCAAAGACCAGGACATTCAACACAGAGTAGGGTTTCCGACCATTAATCCAGATGGTTCAAATAACTTCGCTTATTTTTGTCGATCACTTCTGTAGGTCACCGTGTCGACCCTAATGCCAACATTTACCAGTAAACACATGATTTGTGAGTGTTCTTTTCTTTTGCTCTTTTTGCATGCATGTTAAGGGTCTTGACCAACGTCCCAACGAGAAAAAAAAAAAAGTTGGTGCTGTTTTGGGTCATTGGTTCTTGCAAGAGGCAAAAAATCGAGATTACCACCTAATAGAATTGAAATATTAATGTGTATCTGAACTTGATCTCTCAATCTTTCTCTTCCTGTAAAACTAACAAACTGCCCAAAATTGAAGTGTTTCGATCGAAAGCACTCCGATTCTTAAGTTAGTAAAGATAATGAAGCAAATGGAAGAAGCCTAAGAGAGTTCAGCGTACCTTTCACCTTGAATTCCTCTGTTTTTTATAGATGGTCATTCCCTTAGGGCTTCCGTGATTTTTGATTCAATGTGGCACACCTTCCTTTAATTCAGTTATTCGGTTTGGGAAGTTGCTAATATTTCTCCATTATTTTCTCTTGATATTTTTAATTTCTCTGATTCGTTTATCTGATTGCCTAAATTATAGGCAAATCTTTATCCTTCTATTTATTATTTAAAACAGCTCGGACATATCGAATGCCGAACACACTTGATATTTGCCGAACAGATTAAGGGCCTTAGTTTGGCACAAATCGATTTTTTCAATTGCCTTGCTGAACACTTTAAGAGACTTGGCTTGGTACAAGCCGAGCTCTTTCATTATTTAACTGAATAGACTAATGAGTTCGGTCATAAAGAGAACTGAACTTTTTCTGACACCGTCGAACCTCTAATTAGTTCGGCTTGGTTAAAAAGCTTAATAGAAGATTCTTTATCACGTATCTTGTCTTGTCAACATCACGTGAGCACATTTAAGTCATGTCACGTGTAATCATGAGGTTTAACCCCTTCATTTGTCCCCAGAAAATATTTGACAGACGCTTTTTGGCTGTCAGTCATTTTCTTATCGATTCATCATCACTTGTACTTTATAACATGCCTTTTCGTTTTGGCGGCACATTCAAAACATTTAAATGTTGCCCTTTAAAACTCCTCATTCTTTATAAACTGTCTTTCTTCGTATTTTTGCTTTTCTGCTACCAGACTCTTAGACTCTTATCCTCTTCTTTCTGCATTTTTCTTCCTCTACACTTCATCTTCTTCATGGCTCCTTTTACTGCTTCAAAAGTCCCTGCCTTCAAAATCAAGTACAACATTCCATATGACGTTGAGGTTAGAGTTGCTAGGAAAGATGAGTCATTGATTAGCACAAGAGAATCAATCCTCATTCCAACTCATGCCATAACCGAATGCGAGATTCGTTTTCCTCTTGACCCTCTTCTTCTTTGGGTTCTTTTCTGCTGCAAAACTTTGCCCTCTCCAATGCTGCCTCAACTTTTTTCGGATCATCATGGGGGTGTCTTCTTTGAACAAGATTCTAGGTTTGAGTCTTGGATTGTGGGAGATTTTGTACTACTACATTATCAAGGCCGCCGAAAATAGCTATTATCTATCGATGAAGAAGAAGGAGAGGTATTTGGTAACCCACTTTTTAGATTCAAACAAGGGCCGTGAGAATGATGTGGTGTTTGTCTTTGGCAACTGGGAATACGCTCCTGGTGTCATTCCATCCTATCGTTGTCCCTACAAAGAAGGCATGTCAGGTATTTGATATCATTTGCCTTCTGTTTTAACTTTGATTTTCTATTCTACTAACTTAAGTTTTCTTCTGTACAGGTGAAACTATGAAGGGAAGGATTGTTGAGTCCTCTGTAAAGATGGACCAACTTCAGAAAATTTAGAATTTCAACGAGTCTTTGCTCTATCGAGTCGCTCACACGCTGCTTGGGTACACTCCAACTTACACTTTCTTCATTGTTGTGTTGAACCGACCCAACGCCATTTTGACTGCAGATCGAGAGGAGATCTAGTCTGCTCGGGCTCAGACTCCC